CAATCAGTATGATGCACGGATGTGTTGTAAATCTCCTGGTTGAGAAATATGGGTTATGGCAGATTCTGATTTAGGTTCTATCATTCTTTCGGTGTTGGGTTAGGAATTGTTGGCAATGAAGGCCACAAAAAAGGAATCAGAGGAAGGAGGCAATGAAGGCCTGCGAAATTTTCAAAGAAGGTTTATGAAGGCTAAAAAGGCTTCCCAAGCTTCGATAGCTCTGATACCATAACAAACTTAGGAATTTTGTTGTGTTTATTATTCATTCTTGACAAAGAAGCAAACAATATAAATACACAAGGCAAAGGGAAAGAAAAGGAAACTATTCTATGAATCCCTGATTTTATAGGATTGCCTACAATCACTAATATTATAGGATTATAATCGGCTCCCATTACTCCTACATTAAATACATAATCATTTACATTTTTACATGTTCCCACAATATATAGCATGTATGTATCCTAGTAAATCTCATAACATACCTTATTTATACCCTGCTTTGGGCTTTCTAACTCACTTCTTAGTCTTTAGTTATTATGCTTTTAGGTAGTGTTAAAAATCTTGGGATGAAAAATAATGAGCCCTTTAAGCTTCTATTTATAGGGTGTATGACATGCTTTAAGGTACGTGTTCACTTAGCTTTTTAACTTGTAAATTTCTAAGGATATGCCACATATGTACTTGTTCATTCTTATCTTCTTTCCTAGCCTTGTCTTGTGATGCTTTTAGGGTTGCCCAAACTCTTTTCCTCTTACAACTCATTCTCTAGGTTTGCTTTGTCATAAGATTTTTGTGGCTTGTGTTGCTTGTTTATAAGTAGCTTAGTAAGCCACTTATGTGCTTATTGGTAAGTAGCTTTGTAAGCTACTTGTGTGCTTGCTTACTTATTTATCTCTATAGTTAATATGTTTTTCACTAAAAAATGTCATTTACCTAGTTTTAGTTCTTATATCAAGGGCCTTTAGAAACAACTTATCCTTATAAGAAATTATGATAAAGATATGTATATATCTATATACCTGGTTGAAAATTAGGGTTGTTACAATTCTCCCTCCCTTTTAGAAATTTTGTCCTCGAAATTTTCACTCGAAAAGGTGTGGGTACTTATTTCGGATTTCCAATTCTACTTCCCGTGTTGATTCTATCCCATGGTGACAGTCTCAATGGACTAAGACTAAGGACACTTCTTTATTTCGAAGCTTCTTAACTTTACGTTCCGCGAAGGCTATAGGCTTTTCTTCAAAATTGAGTTTGTCATTAACAGTAATTTCTTCAACCGGAATCACGACATCCCTTTCGGCAAGACATTTCTTTAAATTGGACACGTGAAAAGTGTTGTGTATTCCCTTTAATTTTTCTGGCAGTTCAAGTTGATATGCTACTTCTCCTATCTTTTCAATTATCTTATAGGGCCCAATATGTTGTGGTCGTAATTACCTTTTTTGCCAAAACGTAGAACCCCTTTCTAAGGTGATACTTTTAGTAATACCATGTCACCAACCTGGAATTCAATAGGCTTTCTTCTTTTGTCAGCGTACCTTTTCAGCCTATCTTGTGCGATTTTGAGTCTTTCCCTTGTTTGAGTAACCTTATCCGCAGTTTGTTGGATAATTTCGGGTCAGGTAGTTGCTTTTCGAGAACTTCCATCCAGTAGATGGGTGTTCGACATTTCCTTCCATATAGAGCTTCATATGGGGCTGCCTTGATGCTACTATGGTAACTGTTGTTATAAGCAAACTCAATAAGAGATAGATTGTTATCCCAATGACCTTTCACGTCAATGGCACATGCATGTAACATATCTTCTAATGTTTGAATTGTCCTTTCACTTTGACCATCAGTTTGAAGATGATATGTCGTGCTCATTTTGATCTGTGATCCCAACTATTTCTAGAAACTCTTCCAAAAATTTGAAGTAAAACGACGATCTCGATCTGACACAATTGATATTGGTATGCCGTGTCTCAAAACAATCTCGTCAATATACATTTTGGCTAATGTTTCCAAGGTTTGTGTTTCTCTTATTGGCAAAAAGTGTGTTGTCTTGGTTAATCGATCAACGATAACCTATATAGCATCAAAACCTTTTGGTGTTTTTGGCAACTTTGTAACAAAGTCCATAATGATATGTTCCCATTTCCAAACAGGAATGTCTAGCGGTTGTAACTGTCCATAGGATCTTTGGTGCTCGAATCTTAATTTTTAGGCACATAAGACATTTTTTGACGTAATTAGCCACAAACTTCTTCATTCCTAGCCACCAATACAAAGTTTTTAAGTCTTTGTACATCTTATAGGTCCCTAGACGAGGCTTAAGCCTCAATAATGAGGCGATGCCTTGAGACGTGAGGCGTTTCTATGGCGCACACCTCAATTTGTTGTTGCCTTGATTAGTTAAGAATAGGTGCCTAATGAGGTGAGAATAAAATAAAATTACTTAATTTTTTTTCAAGTAAAGTCAAAACTCAATTGTACTTTTATATTTTAAAGTACTTTAGCCTTTAGGATGTACTTTTTATCTTACCAATCAAAAACAAATGTTTCCTGATCCTACTTTTGTCTTCTCCTCCTCCTTTCTTCCCATATTTTCTTCTCCTCCTTTCTCCTCCACCTAGAATACCTCTCCAAACCCTATTGTTTTCTTCTCCATTTCTTACTTTTTCCTCTCTCAAGAAGATATTCATCTCAAAGGCCAACCCAAAAAGTAAGTTCTTTTTAGTTTGTGATAGTGATTATGGATACGATTGTGGAGCTATACAACTTGATCATGCTACAGGGAACAAGAAGTTGTAGATTGATATGTTTTTAGACTTATAACTAGTAATTTTAAGAATCTATGAAATTTAAAGTTTCGTATGAAATTATGTTATGCTTACTATTGATATTTATAAATTTTATCTGTTTTATGCCTTGAGGCTTGCGCCTCGGACCGCCATGAAACTTACGCCTCATGGCGTGGAAGGAAAGTGCCTCCCGAGTCCTGATTCCGCTTTTTAAAACCTTGATAATGAATACCTAAGAAACTAGAAACTAAAATCAAGAACAAACAAATGCCATCAATTCAAAAACCCTAGACTCCTTGCCCCTAAAAGGTCCTATGTCCAAGACAGGCATCTTTAATGGACATGAAGTAAATATCAAAATGATGTACAGTAAAACTAGAAATATAACATCATAAAGTTGAGGAGATCTGAAATAAAGCTATACAAAATCCCGACAGGCCGACAACCCAACCCAAACCGAAAAATAGGCCGATGAACCCAACCCAGACGAAACAAAAATTAATTCATGTTCCAAATTTTTACAAGGATTGGGTCGGAATAGGCTTGGAGTCAATCCACCGAGTGACTACAACTACTAGTTTGCCCTATTGCTCTATGTTAGTGACTTAGTTGTTTGGTTTTTTAAGAGTTCTCTCTTCTTTTGCTTTCGTATATGTATCAACCATCAAGCATTAGCCCGCCAACCCGACCCAACCTGCAAGGATTGCGGGTTGGTTTGGGTTATACTTTTTAACAGGGTGGGTTGGTTTGGATTATACTTTAGCTTCAAACTTTGAGCTATACAAAGTTCTCTTTACAACCCCCCAATTAAAACTTCTACTACCATCCAACACAAAAATATACAAGATATGGAAGGCTCATTTCGACCAATTCTCTAGCAGAAAACACTATCCTAAATCCTAATAATACTTCTCTACACGGCTTCCTCCATCAGTTTCATCTCTGCCCTCGAGAAAACAAATATTGAATTCATAAGATCATCATGCAGTTGAAAAGATCACTTGGGGAGACGAATCAACCGAGTTTCAAAGACTTCGGGCTAGTGATTAGTGACATACAAACATGGGTCAGTTCCGCAATGACAGATGAAGACACATGCTCCGAAGGATTTGTGAACGACCAAAAATGAAAAGCGTAGTCAGAGGAAAGATTTGTGAATGTTGCACACTTAACAAGCAATGCTTTGACTTCGATCAACAGTTATGCTAGCTTCTCTAAGCAGGTAATTCAGAAAAATTAGACATATAATGGTTGGATATTATTTCAAGAATCATAAAATAAGGCAACTAAAAGGAAACATGAATTGAAGCAGTGAAACTTCATACACATAGCATAAGTTATAGTTCAATGTAGCAAAAACACCCAAATTTTTTTATTTTAATTCCTTTCTAACAATGCGTGAATGGATGGCAAACGCAATGTGCTAATGAGTGAATATTTTCAGGACCCGTTTGGTTTGTTGGAATGTTTTTTAGTGATTTCGATTTCATGGAAGGATTTGGAATCGGAAGGATTAGGAATCTTTGGTGTGTTTGGTTTGTAGGATTTGGAATGGAAAATAATTTCATTCTTTATTGATAATTTATAAAAAACAAACAAATTATTTAGAAATAATAAAATTACCTTTGATTATTACCATACAAATGTTTTTAATATATTTTAGAACATATTTACAAACAAATCCAACGATATCCCATGAAATACCATGGGATTTCAATTTTTGGACTTTCCTTTAAACCAAACATGGGATTGGAATAGAATCCGACTCCAATCCCGCAAACCAAACGGGCGATCAAAGTATTAGTAATGTTCCGAAAATCTTATCATGTCTCATATTGCTTTCATACTTTCTGTAACGTTGCACTCACAAATGAAAACGGAGAAAGGTGTTCTAAGAATGTTATCCACTTTCTATAGCTTTACCTACAGAAGACAAGGGACCATAAAACTAATAACAAATTATGTAAGAAAAATATACATTCTCCTACGCATCGAATACCTAAAATATAAATATGGGGGATCTCATTCAGTCCCAGCATGTGATCAGTTTGTTATAGGGCCTTCTAGTACATATATATTAGATATTTTAAGTGAAAGACATGGTTTGGGAGAGAAATGGTCCCATGTCCCCTAGGACCGATCAGGGCCGAACCTCACATCATTGCACAAGGATATTATTAGTTTGAAGGAAGTTTTGTAAAAATTATCCCAGTATGAGAGGCCATCCAAAGATCAAAATTATACCATATCTCACAACAACTATGTGTTCAGCAATATACCAAAAAGATACTCCTGAAGCTATACAATCATTTTTCATGATTGTAGGAAGTTATCATGGGTATTACAATACAGAAGAAAAAGAACGAAATTGAGGCAATACGAAAAATGCTTCTCTAGTAAGAGAGAGAGAGAGATGACAAGTAGTACTGATGATTTCAATAAGTCAAGAAGCTCTTCTTGGAGGAGACATATTTCCAATGAGAGATGCTGTTGTAGTGACAGAAAATATTTGTACAAACAGTCCTGCCACACAATAAGGCTCCATTGTTAGAGATACAAACCGCATGTAAGCTATATACATGGAAAAATTAATATAATGAACAAAGGTTTGAACTCACCTGCAGAAACAAAAGCAATCTTCAATAGAGAAAATTTCTGTGTTTCCCAGCTACTCAGATCATGGACAACCTAATGAAGATACAATATATGATGTTTGATCATAGGCAATTGGAAATCATCAGCACTAAATATAGGCAGGTTCCAGTATCAGCCTCTCAATAAATAATAGTAACAATTTAGCCTTTTATTCGCCAAGAAGTAAAGGTCATAATCATCCAGAATGTGCATTAGTTTCGGGTGAGAAATAGGAGGCCTAAGAGACATTTGGACTCCTATTTAAGAAGGCCCGTGAAAAATAATCATAGATCCAAAGTGACAACGCAACAAAGAACTAGATAATGCAAGACATCAAACAAATTTCACCATCCTGAACACACCAAGATATAAGAAACTTGATCCTTTTCCTTTATAAAGTCGTATCATGTAAGAATTTACAAGATCCTTGCAAGGTATATGCAAATGCTGATTCAATTATGGGAACAATGAATACAATCGGCAATTCAGCTACCATACAATCAATAAAAATGATATATACTAGAAGACAAAGAATTTTCTTGCCTTTGGTTGGATATTGCTTTGGATGACAGAAGCAATTAACACAAGTATTCCTATGGATGATCCAACCATATAGAACTTCAAAAAGTTCGCCCTGCTACGCTTTCGACCTACAATAATAGAACAATAACAATGAGGGAGTTCATGCAACAAACATAAAGTTTTCTTTAGAGCACTAAAATAATAGTGGTTACCCAATTCTCCGAGTATGATTGATATGAATGTTATAGAACTAGAAGCAGCAGCTAACGTTTCAAGGGGCTCCTTCTTTAATAGTGTAAAAAATATATCAAGTACTCCTGCCAACAGTACCACTGCCTGCAGCCAGCATGCATATCTTATTACCCATGTTTACAAGCATCAAGCTACATTTTGAAGTCAACTGATCTTGGAAAGAGAATCCATTATCTTAGAATATGTAAAAATCAAACACATACATCTATTATATTTTTCAATTGAGAAAGAAGAGCAGCCACGATGAGTATTGCATTTATTATAGTAGGAAATCAGTTCCATATTCAATTTAGAACATGTAAGATCTTCTTGAGCATGTTTTTTTCGTGGTAAGATTGCATTAGGGAAATCAAGGGACAAAAATATCTAAGATGACAGTGAATTAAGACAAAAGCAAGTCAAAATCCACTACATCAGACCCAGGAAGAGAACAAGTTATCCATCTTCTATCTTCCATCAGACTATTGCAGCACCCACCATTTAATCCCTCAATGCTTACAGAAATCAACCTCGTAACTTCAAGTAAAAGCGTAACCCTTACCACAACCCCATGAATTATTGAAGCATGTTTCTGACCACGGGATCTTCATTCTTCTCTATTTGCTTTCTATCTTCCCATATGGTCACATATTATGCACCACCCAAGTGAAATTCACTATTCAAGAGTGACCTCAAAGGATTTCATACCATAATGAGTGCAAGATACTCGATTTTTTCATCATTAAGATCCAAGATAAACTTCTAATTTCTAAATGATGCTTGAATGGATAAAAATTAGTAACTAATGATCAATTATTTCATCATGACATTTGCATGAAACACACTGGGTTGAGGAACCACAAGCTATGGCATCAGTGGGTCTTTATAATCAAACTTTCCCTTACATGAAAGCTGGACAATCACATTCTATTGGTTTCCACCAGTTAGTAATGGAGTCACTTTTCATGAGCTAGCTGGAGAAAATTGGGTAAATAATGATTTAAGAATCTCATTATGAGATATGCATAAAAGCACACTGGCTTCATGAACCACTAGGCATGGCATGGTATGTTACAAATAAATTAAATTTTTCCTTCCTCAAAAGCTGGGAAATCACATCCTAAATTAATTTCCACCAGTTCTTAATGGAGTCACTCTTCATGTAGTCATATCAAGCTAAAAGAAGCACCCATGAGCTAGCTGGAGACAGGACGCTCATTGTTTAGCATCAAAAGAGATAATCTAGCAAGATGATTACTCCATTACTCGTCACATTAAACAAAAAGCAAAAGAAAACTAGCGCTATTGTATTAGGATATTAACTATTAACCTCTCCTTTGTTAATAATAAAAACTTATCTTTTAGCTTGGTCACATTAGAGAAGTAGGACCAACAAATTGAACTGTAAAATCACATAATCCTTCCTATCTTCCCTTCTATCATCTTTACCACTAATCATCCAGCATGGTAAAGCTCTCAAACATTGCTGGAAAACGATTAAAAAAGACCTACTTTGTATGACTATCGGTGATATTATCAATCAGATTTCTATGTTTTCGTGCTCTATATATCTAGTCTGCCCACATTGACTCCAATATGAAGGACCAAAAGTCACCCTCCACGCTTAGAAGCATCAAACTTTCCATGCTAACTGTCTGAGCCCAATGCTAACAAAACAATAAGGACTTTCCACGGAATCAAACACCAATACACAGACTACCAGAGTAATAGCTTTGAACAACATAGAAACCTAGAAATAGAGTCCAAATAGTTCAAACTCCTTATTTGATCCAAAGCAAACCATTTTTCATATCTAAAATTCCTACAATGCACATTCATTAGACCTATCAAATGCTAGATTTTTTATCACGGACTTTAATCTCGTCATATTGTGCAATTAACGGTAAAAATTTAACGAAATATACGAAACAGCAAGCAGAAAAGAGCTCGCATACATACCTGAATCACGAGAACTTTGGAGAGAGCGGATTTCCCCTTGGCTACCTTCGTATATCCTAAATTTAAGATCGGACTAAAGATTTGAGATTTTTAAGAAGAAAAATATAGGACACCATAATTACAAAAAAGTGGAAACTAAGAAAAGGCATACTATTATCGACAACCATTCTGTATGAGAAATCAGAGCCATCGGTTCCCGATGGCCGCCGGTTGCCGGAATTTCTCTGCTGCATCTCTCTCCGGTAGTCTCTTTTGGGGAGTTAAACCTCAGTATTGAATCTGATGATCGTAAGCCTCATGAATGGCCTTCTTGTTTTTGCAAGAGGGGGTTAACCTTGGCCCCTTTTTCCAGAGTTACAAAAGATTGATAAGCATGTATGCCGTTCTAGCTCAGTTGGTAGAGCGCGTGGCTTTTAACCACGTGGTCGTGGGTTCGAGTCCCACGGATGGCGTTTTGCTTCAAAATCCAATGATTTTTTATTTCCATTTTATGAGTAGGCATGCATTCAATCCCCGTCCCATACCACTAGGGCTGTAAACGAACCGAACGTTCAGCGAACCGTTCGTGAACCGTTCGGCGGGAAGTTCGTTTATGTTCGTTTATTTAATAAATGAACGAACATGAACAAATTTTTTTGTTCGTTTAGTTAAACGAACGAACATGAACAATAGTCTCGTTCGTTCATTTGTGTTCGTGAACGTTCGTTCATTTACCGTTCATTTATATTCGTTCGTTTATATATTAAATTTAATATATAATCTTTTATTTATTTACTTTGAATTCAAATAATATTTATTTATGTTCGTTTAACCCGTTCGTTTATGTTCGTTTGTTTACGTTCGTTTAGCATGTTAACGAACGAACATAAACGAACACGAACACACCTGATTTCTAAACGAACGAACACGAACACAAATATTTTCGTTCGTTTACCGTTCATGTTCGTTCGTTTGTTCGGTTAAGTTAAACGAACGAACATGAACAAGCCTCCGTTCGTGTTCGTTCGGTTCGTTTATAGCCCTACATACCACTAATCTCTATCCCCATCTCTAACAGGGAATATAATCATATCTCCATTTTCAATTAAGAAACACGAAAACGGAGATTTTTTTTTCTATTTATATAAGTTATTTTAAATTAAATATGTGAGAAACCATACATGTTTAAATCTCAAACATTTTCAATAAACCTAAAATCAAAATAAATTTATTTTAATACAAAAAAACCACAATATCATATAAGAACTAATAACTTAAAACAAAAAAAATTCAATTAAATCCAAAAAAAACTTAAAGTTTCGTGTACCAAAAGATATTGAATAATATAAAACCATATCGAATTCGAGTAATATATACAAAACTTATCGAGTAATTGTATTTTGACTTGACATCCAAAATATTACATATTAACATAAAAAAAAACAATTTAAATTATAAACCTAGTAGAAATAAGAAATTATGAACTACCGCTTTAGTAGAAATAAATAATATACATGTGTATATATAATTTATTAATTAATATACATATTGCGGGTACGGGGCGGGGCGGGGAGTACCGTCCCCATCCCCGACTTGAGATAAACAGGGATCCCCGTCCCCGTCCCCATCCCCGATTTAACGGGGAATCCCCGTTCCTAACCGGGGCGGGCGAATCGGGTTCCCCGATGGGTCGGAGTCCATTCTCATGCCTATTTATGATTACTTTTACTTGTTATGTTTATTGTTGGTTATCTTTATTTTGTTGTTTTATATTCAAACATTTACAACAACAAAAAGATATAATATATATAGGTGGAGGTTCAAACGAGAACCTCTGTGATTTACGAGAATGTGGGAATAACTCAATAACCTCAAACTTTTTTAATTAATAAATTAATTTATATTAAATATTAATAAGGGCGGTAATATAATTAAGTAATTTTTAAAAAATTTATTTTATTTTAATTAATTATAATTATCTCTTTTTTTCCTGCATGTTCGTTTCCACTCTCTTATCTTCCCTTGTGATAATTGTGTGATTGTGTAACCATAACCTATCGAAAACCATGATCAATCGAGTGTAACCAAAACCTATCAAAACCATGATCAATCGAGTGTAACCATAATCTATCAAAATAATGAGTAATCATTGTGATAAATGTGTGATTGTCTAACCCTAACTGATCGAAACCATGATCAAATTGAGTACGCAGGTGATGTTATAATAGTGATATCACATGATTATCACACTCATATCACACCAAATCGTTTAGTGGATTTCGTCTGTAATCATTGTGATAAATGTGTGATTGTCTAATCCTAATCTATCGAAACCATGAGTAAAAGTTGCGATAAATGTGTGATTGTCTAACCCTAACCGATCGAAACCATGATCAAATAGAGTGCGCTCTTATGATAGTGATATCACATGATTATCACACTCATATCACACCAAATCAGTAGTCAATTTTCTAAGTTAACCCTAGCCGAGCAGAATCCTTGTGATAATTGTGTGATTATCACATGATTATCACTCCCAAATCACACCAAATCGTGTTGAAATAAGCGATAACCATAATAACGCATTATGTTATCCAAATTATTGGGTTTAGTGTGATATTGTTTTTAAAATTTTATCACTTTGAATTCCAACATTACCCTTTTGCCTCTCAAATTTTTTTGAATTCTTTTAATTTCATTTTTAATTTAAAAAAAAATTTAATTTTTTTTTGTTATCACAATATGAAGTTAATAGGTTGTTCTTGCGTTTTCACAAATCATAGGAGTTCTCATTTCAACCCTTTATATATATATATATATATATATATATATATATATAAAAGAGATAAGCGATCAAATGCAAACTACTTATATTTGTACAAACCGTGCAAACCACCATTATCTGTCAAATTTCATTGTTTAATCTTATGAAATTTTTTCATGAAATTGTTTCATATAATACTTTTTTGATGAAGTTGTTTCATATATGATTATTAAATTGAATCATATAATACTTATGAAATTTTTATTAAATTATTTCATGTATTTCTCTAAAATTAATATAATGAAGATGATAATATTCATGACTAACACCCTCTTCAATAAAGATGATTAATCAACCTCTCATAATTACCAAAAAATGAACAAAATGAAAAATTATGATTGGTTGAATGAGTTTTGTACGATTTGTACAGGTAACGTGGTTTGCAAAGTAAATCTCATATATATATATATATATATATATATATATATATATATATAGGTG